ACACAGAGAACGTCAGCAGATTTTAAGAAAATTAATTCAAGTATATGCAATACATTGTTTGGCTGGTGGAACATAAAGATTGATTATATTACTATTACCACATGCAAGATACAAACTCTTCTCCCTGCCTGTGTCATTTTGTGAGCTATTGTTATGTGGCTCAGGCTAAGGGAGAGTGCATGCACAAGAGGGAAAACAAAGCAGGCACAATTTGGTTTCTCCTCATTTCTGGATAAAGAATCCCATCCGGCCATAAATATAGAAAAAAATATAAAAAAAGATCCTTGGAATGACAATGTGCTTCTGAAAGTTCTGATCCTCTCTCTATGAAGTCAGTATTCCGGTGCTCCTGGCCAGCTTTCCCATTGGCCCTTACCAATCATGGCCTCCTAATAGTCCTCATCTATGAATTGGCTTCATTACTCTGCTCTCCTCCCCACTGAGAGCTGGTGTGTGGTGAGCGTTCTGGCGCACTATGGCTGCCGTCGCATCATCCAGGTGGGGCCGCAGACTGGTGGTGGTGGAGGGGATCCCCATTACCTGTAAAGATCTTTGTGTGGAGTGTCCAGAAAAGTGCTATATAGTGCTATATAAGTGTAAGCAATGTATTATTATTATTATTATTATTATTATTATTATTACATTTGCCAATGTAAGCTTCCTAAACGTATTTTATGGCCAGATAAAACAGAAACTAAGTGATAAAGCTGGAAATGTCTTTTAAACTGGATTGCAGGCCCAGGGCTCTGGGTGAGATCATTTATTAAAGTGAATCTCTCAGCGTTAGCAGGATCTGCCCAGGTTATTAATAACACAGATGGACTGGACCTCAAACACTCCATCACTGCACAGAGCAGACCGGTCACACATCAACCATACTGACGCGCCGTACTGTGCCAGAGACTGCAAGAGAGGGAGGGACAGATCACTCGCATGAGAAGTGATTTAAAATCACTGTTCGCAAATACTGACCCATGGGCTACAGCCAGTCTGCCTTGGATGGGCTAAATGATTTTAAAAGAGATTGATAGCAGAAGGAAGGAGGAGAAGGAAAACAGTTACAAAACAACTTGCACAAGTTCAGAAAGAACCAACAAGAAACTAAGAAGCAACAAGCAATAAGAAATCTCTGCTTTCCCAGTGCTAGGGCTGGATAGTAACATTTGTGCATTGGTAGATACAGCATATCGCTAAGCATGTACATTCCCTCCATGGTTGTGGATCGTTCGTATAAAACACGGATTTGAATTATTAAAACGAGCATACAGTTGTGTACTGGGATGAGCACGGATTTCGTACGGATTTGCTGAAAATAAAAGGTCAGAAACATCGAGGTTCAGGTCCACACGCTCTCTGTCCCATCAAAACGTGAAATGTGATCCACGGATAATTCATCATTGAACAAGATGCTTTTTTTTCAAATGCATTCCATTACCACTATGTACTGTACGTAGTGGCACACAGTCGCAGTCCCGTTTCATCATCGTGGAGAGGAGGGGATCAAAGGGACCTGAGGTAGTGAAAACAATTCCGGGTGCCGAATTTGGCCGACAGGCATGTGCATTGTTACACTGTATATCACGCGGGTGTGGGTTTGTGCATTGCAGGCTAATTAGGAAGCCATGACCGTGGACTGAAGGAGTTGTTAGAACGAGTTAGTCTGGGTGCTAGGAACAGGGGCTGCAGTTCCTGTGTGGCTCTCACACCCTCTGCAGCAGGATTCCAGAGCAGCATTGTTTCATCCTCGCCACCCCCACCCTCATTAAAGCGCTGGGCCTGCACCGCTAATTAAATCCCACTTGAAAGTCTTAAAAGTCGGGCTCAGATTGATTCAATTTGCATTTCTGCATAGGCAACACCGCCTGAAAGGATTAATAAATTGGTTGAAAAATGCCCTTTTCTCTGCTGAGTTGTTGGTTGCAGCTCTATGAGACATCACCCCCCAGCCTCTCTCTGCACCAGGGAGTCCCCCCCCCACGCCGACCTCCGCCCGCCCCTCGCTGCCCGCCATCAATGGGAGCCTGTTTGTTAAAACTTCATTTCTCTGGAAAGCGCCCTAACTCGACCCAGAGACCGCCGCGGCACTGCCAAACGGCATCTTTGTTTCTGCGGCGAGAGTGGGGAGAGGGGAGAGCCAGCGGGAGGGAGAGGGGGAGGAGAGTGCCGCTGCAGAGGAAACCGGGGAAACGGAGGGCAGGACAGGGACAGAGATGTCAAGGGGCCTTTACTGACCAACACACCCCCCCAAACAAATAATAAAAGGCCAAGCCCCGCCCTTAGAAAACCCTAAATAAATGCTGCTTTCTAATCGATACAGTCATTAGCTGATCAACAGGAATATAGCCCAAAAGGCAATCAATAAACATGACAGTACAGGACGCGTTTATTTGCTCCTGGTAAACAAACATGCTCCAGAAGACAGGTGTGAACTCGGGTTCTTAAGCTTCTTCCTTGGGAGGGAGAGACAGGGTGACAGGTAAATTCAGACGTAAGAAAGAAAGAAGACAGAGGCGGACAGGTCATGCACCCCAGTATTTTCCCCATAAGAAAGTTATGTCGTGCACTGTGTGAGCGCGATCACACCCTGTTGCTGCAGGAGAGGCTGGCTGGTGGCTCAGTGAATTCCGCATTGCCTCCCCCTAACCCCTATCTTTAGCACAGAGTAGCTGGAATCCCGGGTGTATTTCTTGATGAAACTATGAAACCCGAAGAATGAACAGAGACAGGCCAGGCTGCACCGGGCTGAACTCAAATGACCTCTCAGTCTCAGTGTGATAGAGGCACACACAGCTCCACAGGCCCCCAGTCTGCCTCACAGGAGAGGACAACACTGACCCCTAGTGCTCATTTTGCAGGGCTCATTCTCAGTATTGGTATTCATCTTTTTGTGCTATTCTTAACCTCCTTCATGTTTAGGCCCATGTTTGTGCATCTTTTCTTTCTAACTTTTTTGTGTGTAATCTTCAAATTATCAGTGAATATAGACCCAGTTAAACAAATATTTTCTTTGAGCAATTAAACCCTGAAAGTCTCAGTTAAGGAACTAAAGGCAGAGATGGATTATTATGAAATCATTAATCATTACTAAATTACAGTGAAGAGTCTTCCTCAAGGCTTCATCTGCTAGGCTCCACCAGGGATTTGAACCCACAACCAATATGTAACAAAACCCAGAGTACTAATCCCTCCTCCTTCTAGAATTACGTCTAAAACTTAAGACTTAAATTACACACATTCTGAACTCTCTTTGTGAGGCTCTTAGTAAACCAATTCAAATTTGAAGTTTAGTATACAAATCTATTTCAGGTTATCTTGATACATACAGTAAGCAACATCCTAATCTTCGTATTTCATGTTACTTACTCTCACGAATGCATGGACAAGCGTTATAGCCTGTGCCTGTGATGCAAGGGGACACGACAGCCCTGAACCAACACAGATGAAGTGAGTGTGGCCAGCAGTTGACCTATTTCACAGAGTGATTTAAAACCAAATTACGCAGAGGCCGAGACAAGGTTAAACACCCGACCTGCTGCGGTAGGCCCACGGAGACAAACGAGATGTCAACACAACAGCCTGAGAGCGAAGAACGTGTTAAACCTGTATAGTCTGACGTGCTGCAGACATGGATCAACAAGCTTCTTCAACGCAAAGGCCTCTTGCACTTGCTTCTAAAGCAGATTTTTCTCAGGTTTTTTTTTCTACAGAGGACACAAAGCACACTGCTTGGATCCAGCTGGGCCCCAGTCTAACCTAATTAGTAGATAGTGATAAACCGCGCAGAACATGTGGCCTGAACATGTTTTCATGGTGGTCTAGAAAGTGACTAAAACCGTTCTGCCAGTGAACACCTGACTGTAAATGCTAAAGTTAAAGGAATCTGTAGACGAGGCACATTTTCTTGTGTCTACGGAAACAGGTATTAGAGAGGACTATGATTTCATCAGAGATCTTCAAGGGGTATCCAGACAACGAGTAAACATGTTACTCCCGATTATGACTGGGTTATCAGTTTTTCACTTGTCAACAAGGTTGCCTTCTGACAGTGTTTATGGGAGATCTGCTGCCCTGCAGTACAGTTCTGAATATTTAGTTACCACAATGATATCAAAACAGCATTGTCAGTAAAAACTGTATGGGGGAAGGTTAAAAGGTGGCCGTTTTGGAAGGGGTCTGTCACCCAAAAGGACGTGCAGCACCCTTAGGTGACTGTCTTATGTCTACCAACAGCCACAGTTCACTGCATGAGAAGCCACTGTTTAATATTTATGAAGAAGACATTAACCGTACCATGTTAACATTTTTATTTTATAAATGTGAACTTTTCAGCATCCTTGTCGTTGTCGAGATCACCACCCCTGTCCGTTTCTTCTTCGCTCCTGGTTTTTACCACGAACCTTTCCACAGCCCCTATAAGAGCCACATGTGCATCCTCCCTCTACTGCTTCCTTTTTCTTCTCTCGCACCCACTGTAGCATTTTCGAAATGTTTTTTTAATTATTTTTGATTTATTTATTCATAATAGAATAACAAAAATTACAGTACAAACAAGAGTGCATGTAACAGGTTAAGACAAAAAGATCGCCAGGGGTACATATTAGTACATAAATTCAAGTTATGAAAAAAGATTAAACAAATTAAATAAAGAGTATTTTCGAAACGTGTCCCCATCTCTGCTTCTTCTCCCATTTTCCCACCGGCTAAGGTTTTTCCCCCCCAAGCTAGTTTAGTTATGCCGCTCGCAATAATTTTTAGCTGGGCAACTGATGGCCTTTGACGTAGTTAGTGCGGGGAAAACGCCTCCAGCTCTGAAAGAAGCATCTGCTCTCCCACTGGCTTTAGATTTCATCTGGAGTTGAAATAAGAGTTTTGCGCGTCGCTTTATTAAAATATTGAAGCATGTATTTAGATTTTGATGCGGGATGCGGGATTGGGGATTGGGGATTGGGGGTGGCCGGCGCGGGGTCCCCCCAAAACGCGGGTCCCGGGGCGGCCGCCCCCTTGGAGACGGCTACACTGTGACCAAACCCCCATGTCGATTTATTTCTCCTGCTTGTCAGTATGCGCCCGGGGGGTGGGGGGTCGCAACCTGACGTTGCCGATATTTCTGACACCGAATCTGCTCCAGGCAGCTCAGGAAACACCGGCCTCTGCCTGAGCTGACGCGCCGTCTGGCGAGGTTCAGAGACCGTCTGGCGGTGCACAGGCCGGGCGCCCTCTTTTCTCTCTTTTTTTTCTTTTCTGTTCGCTTCTCCATCGCCAGGGGTCGTGTCTGCCTCCGTCTCAGCCCTCGTTTCTCACTCTCTCTCCCAAATGAGACTGAATATCCAGCGGCTCTGAAAACCCCCCTCGCACTCAACACTGCTGCGCACTACAAAAAATGGCGGATAGATACTGAATCCACACCAGACAAAAAATACATACATACAAATCCCTGCAAAGCGGAGGTAAAAAAACGAGCTAATTTTAATATTTTTTTCTCTTAACACGCTATCCTGTTTCCCCCTATCCCCTTGGGTTTTTTTTTGTGTGTGTGTAAAACACAGCGCTTCCTCAGTCTGGGTAAAACCGCTCGGTTTGGCGGGAGGCAAGCGAGTAGTAACAGGCGAGATTTTTTTTTTTTATATGTGTGTGTGTGTGTAACGCATACTGTATGTATCTATCCTACAGAGCATGCTTGTTTTTGTGCGGGTGTCTGTGGCAGAAAATAAAAGCGAAGGGAGCGTGTCCATGCAAAAAAGAAAAAGAAAAGAAAAAGTGCGTCCTCCCCTCCTGTTAGTTTGAAGTGTGTTAAGAAATTTGTGAAAATCGAAGCTGCGCGCCGTTATGATTTGTTTTGGTAGCGCTCCATGTGTAGGCTCGGCTTTGTGCTTTTGAATGGACTTGGGAGGGGGGGGGAGTTTGATGTCGACGTACCGCTTTGTTGCACATCCTGCTGTGGGAGTAGCAGCGACGACAGAAGCGGCACACAGGGTCTGCTCGGTGCTGAGCTTGTCCGTGTTTTGTTGCACCGTGGGTCAGAGACTGGGACTCCCGTCCTCTGCGGGACAGCGGAGTCATCCCTCCCTCCCCCCTCCCCGTGTCCCGCAAAACACACGCACACTCACAAACAAACAAACACGACAGCAACCTCCGGCTATTAATCAAACGCGCTGCCTTTGAATGGAAACCCTGTGCGTGTGTGTGTGTGTGTTTTATAGGGGGATAAAAATAAAAGACACGCTGGTCGCGTTCATTTAGACGTCTTCCCCTTTTCGGGGGACGCAAGCAAAACGCGCACTTCTCCCACTCGGAGAATATGCTTCAGTGCAAAACAAAAACTGTACGGTGGCGATCTTCTTCTCCCCATTCAAAAGAAAACTTCAGAAATAGCACTACCCTCTCTTTACGGATTATATCCGAAACGGTCTGCATTCTGTTATCAATTTCGTGCGGTTTCATTAAGAAGTTTAAATGGGGATGGACTGCTGCGACCAGATACGCCAATTGCTCAAGTATTTGTTAATTGAATTAATTGCTCGTTCTTCAAATGCTGTAAGTGGGACTTGTCTGCAGTTACCGGTGTGTTTTATTGCCATTTCAAATGAACCAAGACTGACGATCATTGCTATTGATAGTGTTTAGTTATATAATTTAAATGATGATTTTTTTAAATTCAATTTAAGCAGCCAATTACTGTTGCTAATTAATTATTCCCTGGCTTTTTCTATTGCTTTTTAGTTATGTAACTGGCATTATAGCTGACTGCAGCCTTCTGATACAGACATGCCAATAGACTTGAGAAATGTGACAGCTGTGCTCCTGTTTGCACAGGACATCTGTGCTGCCACCAACACACAAGCAGATGTTTGAAGAAGTGTTTATTTTGTCTCCCAATGTTTTTTTTACAAGTTTTATCTTAAATTATGACTTAACTTATTAAGTGACTTTAATCTTGGTGTATTGGGAGCATGCTGGAGAGGCCTGTTTGTTTCTGTCCCTTTCTACGTGTCAGTGGTACGGGTGGCCAGATGGTGTAACAACACAGATGTTAAAAAGGGAAGGCAGATTGACATTGCGTGGATTTATAAATCTGATAGGTGAGGAACCATGCAGAACTGATCATGAAGCCACTTGCACACCAAAACACAGTTCACACACATTTGTGAGAACATTTGTATTCCAAGGGCTGTTCCTGATGAAATGGTTCAGTACATTAGCTGCAACTGAATCAGTACAGACCCTCAAAAGGCCTCTTCTGTTAGGGTTCAAGAGGGGTCAGAATATGACTGTCCCTGTTCAAACGCAGCTGGTGGTTTTGTCATTGCCAAATATAGCGGCCAGGATGCACTGAGTTGCTCTAGCCTTGAATTGACTAGACAGCCGACTCCCAGTGGAGATTTTGCTTTGACTATAAACGCTCTTGTTATTCACCCTTGGACCCTTGCAAACGACATCCCTTTGTTATCTGATTAACCCCTTGACCTTTCGTGGTCTCTCTTCATAGCTCAGCTGCTGTCCAGAAGTTGGTGGGGGTCCTTCCTGCATGTCTCTGTGCAAAAGCAACACACAGACCCCTAATATTTCAAAACCTTTAATCATAGTTTTGTGAAATTCATGCGTTTTCTCTTCTTTCCCATTGAACTAAAATCAGATGTTGTGTGGTCATGTTATTTATGTGTATGTAGATAGACCTCCTTTTTGTTTTGAAAAAAGGGAACTAGTTATATTAATCCTCGATTCACACATCTCTTGAACTTTAGACTCCCATCACACTGGTCGCTAGGGAGGCTGGGATTTGTTTTTCCTTTTTGCGTTATTTTTCCTTTTGCTTTTCACTTCAAGACCTTCTGTCCAGGAGTGGCCTAGCCCAGTGCCCACTGCCAGTCAGGAGCTGGGAGGTTTCATTAGAATAGACGCCGATGGACTAGGATCTTTGGAGAAACAGCTCACTCAGGATGTCGAATCGATAAGCTCCCAATAGCTAGGCGCTCTTTCATCTTTAACCTTTTTTCCCAGGATGAGGCCCCCTGGCCCAGGCCAGCCCAGACTCTGTGTCGCACTGACTTTCTCCCCTGTCTCTGTGTGTAGAGTGGAGCGTGGATTGGCCCGCGTTGAGGGACTGGTCAGTACTACCGGAGCATGAGGAAGCCGGGGCGTCAGAGAGGTAAAGGGAAGACGTGTGAAGAGATCATTGCCCAGGATGGGCGTCTCCTTAGGCGTGACGCAAGGCGGGATGTAAATGGCATGTTAACCTTCCCTCTGCCCTGCTAAGAGAGCCATGTACTGTATCCTTCTCTCCGTCTCTCCCAGCTATCGAGTGGAAAGATGAGAGACGACACAAACACGCGCGGAGCGGACGGCCCTCCCGGACGCCGCCGCAGTACCAGGGTGAGAGTCGCTGTCCGTCCGCGAAGCGGCCAGCGTCTGGCTGTTTTATTTGGGACAATTACAGTAATGTTACAAGACTCTGACTAGGCAGAAGAGCACAGGGTTACACACGAGAGGGAGCCATTCAGCCCACTGAGCCTGTTTGGTAGTTGGTGGTTGATTGACTCAAGGACCTCACTTGCTGTGTATTGAAAGAAGCCTGGGTCCTGGTTCCTCAACAGGGCTGGGCAGCTGTCAAGGTCCAAGATCAAGATCAGTGATATACATTCTAGGATTTTTCTCTAATATCTCTATTTTAGAGGTTGGTACTCACACTATTATGGGCCTAACAAAGACATTTGCTAGTACTGAAGCAGACATTAATGAAACATATGTAAAAAGTCCGATATCTGAATTCCTTTCTTTGTGGCTCAGTGGTGGACTGGTGTCCCTTTCAGTGCTGTCATGTTTCAGTCCCGCCTTTTTTGCTTGATGATGTTTTTCTCAAAATGTTGTCTCCGACATTTAACATTTCAAGACCCATCATGACTGTGTTATCATCTATTAATATGAAACAGCATGCGTCTATCTAACCCTTTTTTTATATACATGTTCATGTAACAATAGGTCCTCATTTATTCTCCACTCCACAGCCAGGATGTACTATGTGAATGATGTTCTGCTAGCCTCTTATTCAACGGTGCTTCAAGGTTGATCACAGCGCTCTCATTATACTTACATTCTTCTTTAAAAATAAGAATGCGTTATAGAACACTGTGCCACTATGACGGCATTTTCTCAGTACGTTAAACAGCAGGCTAGCTACTTTCACACACCTTGGATAAATACAGTAATTTTGTCATTCTTTGTTGATGACTGCTGCATGTTGTGAAACACATACAAGGTGCGTTTTCCACACTTCCTTAATATTTTCCACATAAAATCTGAATAAAGCAAATCACACTGGAATGAATGTTGGCTAGTTTTTCAGTTGACTAGCCAGCTTTGTAAAAGCGTGTCTTACGATGTTTTAGATGTTGCTTCAGACTCATTGTATTTTTGCCACTCATATAGTTGTCACATTTTCTAATATTTCCTGCAGTTAATATCTTGCAAATAGTTTTCTTTCTTTGCTCATTGTGCTGAGGTACTGCCAGAACAAGCATCTTATTTCCATCTGAAGAGATTAATGCCAATTTCAGTAGATAACCAGTTAGTTTGACCAGTGCCCCATGTTTATATAATCAAATTGCATTAAAAGCTTGTTACACTAGTAAAAGTAATGTCATAGATAATGGCAACTAACTTGCAATACTCACAAACTATTTAAATCTCTTCTTCCTCGTGAACGTCTTGACAGTCTTTCTTTCTGCTCCTGTTATGTATCTGTAAGCAGCAATGCTCATGCATGTCTGAGTTTGGGTAATTGTTTTACAGCGAGACAGGAAGTAAAACAAATGTAAAGTGAACATGAGGTATATAAAAGTTAAATTAATTTTCGCTGGAGTTCTGAGTCACAGTTGCTATTTCCCTCTTCTTATTTTTACAAGTAAAAATGAAAAAGACATTTTGTTATTTTGACTACTGATGTTTTTTTTATCATTGTTGATTTACCGTGAACTTAGATGCTGTCAGGATTTACTCATCTTGTATTATAAGGGGTTTAGTTGACTTTGCAGTCCTTAAGCTGAATTGTAAAAAAAAAAGAAAACTGGTTGTCAGCTGGTCATCTGGATGTGTTTGTTGATGAAAGTGTTTGTGTGTAATCACGAGTGACCAGTCCCTTTCCACAGAATCAGTCAGAACTTCATCATGTACTGTTTCTGCAGGACACTTCAGCTGGGAGAAGTATCTGAAAGAGACAGGTGCCGTAGCTGCCCCCGCCCACTGTTTCAGACAGGTGGGTGTGCCGTGCAAGTCTATATATACATTTATAGCCCAGGAGAGAATGTTATCTTTTACAGAGCATGTGTGATTTCACAGCTGATGTATTGAAATCGCTCATTGTTTCACATATTTCAAATGAGATGCCAAAAATAGAGGAAAATAAGTAATACATTCCTGGCCTGAATAATTCTCTCAGAGCCATGTTGGTGCTCTGGGGGGTGTGTGTGAACATCTGAAGTCAGTCCACACCCTCTGCCAGAGTGTGCAGAGTCTGCTACTTGACGGAGGACAGTTATCGAAAAAGCTCAGCACTTTTGGAGAAAAACTAGCGCTTGACATATTGTCAGAGTTGCTGTTTTTATGATGCCCATTTGTGGTCCGCTGATAGTAATGAATCTAATAGATTTGCGAAATAGAGATTTTATCAGTGGTTTTGATTGTTTCACACTCATATTTTATGATTTGCGGAACATTGCAAAATCAGGAGACTGAAGGGTTGCGGAGTGAGACGCGTCTGGCATGACCCTTGTAGGAATATCTCCGTTTGGGGCCACTAGCATATCCTCTGCATCGGGAGGGCAGAGTGAGCAGCAGAATGTACACAGTCACTTCACAGCTATACCGTAACTGCAGAA